CTTACAGAATATTTTTCCACAACGAAACAATCATATTCACGACCATAATACCCGAGTTGGCAGCAACTTTCGCCCAATTTCCTGTCGTACTAATTTATATAGTAAATCATTTCTTCCTTCTGTTATTGTACTCTGGAACTCTTTGCCAGACCAAATAAAAAATGACCCATCGATTTTCAAACTGAAAAATCACCTCTTTGATTATTCACATAAAGTTCCACTGTTCTACTATATCGGAAGCAGGATGGGTCAGATTCACCATTCTAGATTAAGAATGGAATGTAGCTCTTTAAAATTTTACTTATACCGTAGAAATCTTATTGATAGTCCTTTATGTTCATGTATGGAAAACGAGGAGACTAATGATCATTATCTGTTACATTGCCGTCTTTTCTCTCGATTTCGTTTACGTTCCTTTTCTACAATAACTACTAAACTGTTACTATTCGGTGATGATGAGCTGTCATATGACGAAAATGCATTAATTTTTTCATGTACTCAGGATTATATCCTTAACTCCAAAAGATTTGAATGATGTCTCTTTTCTCCAATACATTCATGTCTGGGTCGGTCTTTACTGTGTTTTCATAGTAAGTTCTGTACTTGAGGTATAACTGAGCAACCCCCCCTCATCCCCCCTTTTATTTTCTTTTTGTTCTTTATCTATAAGATAGCATGTTGATTTATTCTTTCTCACATATTATCTTATAATAACAGCCTACGTCCTCAATTCCGCATGCGTCTCTGCTAACTGGAAATGGATTAATATAAGTTGTCAAACTTGTTTCCAAATCCAATTTCAATTGTTATTTGATGCAACTATGAACATTGTAAAGAGAAAAAATGAAATAAAATAAAGTTTACAAGAATGTGCCGCACTGGACCGAAAGACGATTTGCAGGATCGGGCAGAATCGGGCAGTTTATATTTAGACTTTGGGCATTCAATTGTTTTCAGTGTAATTATTGTGGTGTTAAATGACTTAGTTAAAATATCATCATTTCATATTGATCAAAAACGGCCAAAAAAGATATTATGTTCTTTCCATGTAACGTAATGTGCCGCACTAGACCGAAAGACGATTTGCTGGATCGGGCAGAATCGGTTTATATGTAGAATTTGGGCATTGAATGAGGAAGTATCGGGAGAGTGGGGGTGTTAGTAGGAGTTTACTTTCCGCAATTAGGGGATCAGTTAGCATTACCCAATCGTATGGTATCAATCGTATCTAAGCTATTGTTGACAAGTTGCAACAGGTGCGTTGACACAGTTAGGCTAGATCCCACTGGTCAGTGGCCGAAATGCTACTCAATGTCATATGAAAAATAGATGGTTAAGAGACGTTTCAAGAATTCTTTACCAGTAGTGTCCATGGCTGTTCTTGTCACTTTCGAACTTTCCGGAAACTTGGTATCCGCCTCCTTCAGTTTAACTGCATGTGCTATATGCTTTATGCACTTATACCTTAATTAGATAAAACAATGTCTTTCATGAAAAGAGCATTAGTATTATTTTGTAATTTTTTATTTGGGTTTTCTGTAATGACAACCTGCGTAGCAGTATGATAACTATGAAAATAATTTCAATATATATATATATCGTAAATTGTACATTGTAATGTATAGGTATCATACGTTGTGATTTGTGACTTTCGAACAAGACGCTGATGAATAAAGAAGACCACTTAGAATTGTCTTAAGTTTTAGAACCTTTATGTGACATTAATGCACAAAGAGCTAATTCCCAGGGAAGCACCCGTGTCACAACCTTTACTTCGAAATTTAACTAAATATCCCAGTGTTAAATTGTTTAAAATGTCTTAACTTACCGAAACAAAGACTTAGGTAAGTATCTTAAAGTTTACAAACTCTGTATCACAATATTGTTCGGAATTGTCTATTTTTAGACCGCTATAAATATAAATGACGTAGCATTTTCTATTCAGAAGCTGACAGCAGAATATGGCGGAACAAGGTTCGTACGGTCAAGGCCAGTTTATTTAATTTATATTAGTCTATTTATAACATTGGAAAACTAAAACATTTTCATACAATTTTAGCCCACCACCATCCCCTACTTTCCTCCGTTCCTTTTTTGAGTTTTTATCTCTTGTTTATTGTTCTTACAAGGCCTGCTATATTTGTTCCAAACTTGGTTGATGAGATCTTTTCATTAGTTTCAATTTTACATCAAATATGTATAGGAAGTATCCTTCATAAAACTGTTCCAAGCGTTTTTATGCTTATGTACATGACTCGTCATATCCACTCTGTTAAGTTTTTGTAATTTCATAAAGTCATAACCTAAGTTGTTGATTAGGTTACTCAGAGATGTGCTGTAAAATTTTCCTTCTTTAAATTTCATATCTGATAAATTTGTACGATGTTTGTTCTTCTTAACTTGAACTGTACCGTCTTATGTTTTTGTATGCTGTCAAATTTTCCTTCTATGATTGGGTATATTTATGTATGATGTGGTTACTAAATAACAAATGTCGTTTACTATAATAAACGGCCAGATTCAATTCACATCTTGTGTTCTAGCTGTTATTTCTATGACTGTCTTACTAGTTTTGCCATGGTGGAGGTCCGGTATAATGTTTAGTACACGTGTATATTCTGAACCCTATTACTATTCGAATGAATTAAAAAAAGTGGCATGCAGTCTACAGAAAACATCAAGGACTCAAAAACTACAACTTGTGTCTGCTACCTGCAATCTCGAAGATTGTACAAGACAGAAGAGTGAATTAAACTTTTAAATGAAAACTTAGATAAAAGAGAACCAAACAATCTCGCCATTCTAGGACTCGTCAGTGATGCTAAGGGTCTAAATTCTGAAACCCTGGAGGCGGACGAGGAACATCAAAAGTATCTGAAGTCAAAATCAATCTGAATTATTAATAACTCTCTGCCTTTATTAACCAAATAGTGTTATATTTCCTGCATTCATTGTGATGTTAAACCGGTATGTATGTAAATGTGTGCAAAGATGATAAATCATTTGCTTGATTATGTGAATCTCCTACACGGTGTGTGCACCGTTTGAACAAAGCGAATCATAGAGCGTTTAAGTTCATCAATCCTTCAACAGTAACGTAAATATGCGGTCCTTCTGTAATGACTTTGTTATTTACCACTAAATATGTCATTTTTTTGGAAGAAAACGGTCTAAAAATAAACGAAAGTATTCCTTATGAGTTAAAAGTAAACACATTTGGAATGATATGAAATACTCGACATCCTCATCCCTTCCTCGTTAAACACTATCACCATTTACCAAGAGAAGCAAAAATATGTTTGTGGCGTGAAATGTTCATGAATGCCACAATACAGAATAACAAAAATCAATATAACCGATGTTCATGAGCGGGATTTACTGTGTAACGTTGTCCAAACCATATTATCGATTAGTATTGTAATAGATTCACAAATAGTTGAACCCCCTCCCCGATGGCCAACATGTTCCTCAAACGGTGTTATAGCACGAAGCACATCTCCATGTCTCCACTCTGCGGGCAATGTCGATGACAGCACACGACTTTTCCGTCTTGTGTGCATGGTTGCCTATGAATTTTTTGCTGTATCTGAAAATTTACAAACTATGCAAATAAAAAACTTTTCATTAATTTGAATATCAATTTTGTGTGTCTTTTCTACAGTCCTTTGATGCATGTCAAAGAGGGTAAAGCCCTATGAATTTGAAACAATAAATCACAAGCAGATGGGCTTATAATTCATCAGATCTAAAAACGGCAGGAACAGCCAAAAACAACTCTCAATCAAATGATGACGTCATCTTATGACCTTTGCTAAATGAACATTGAGGAAACATAATAGGAAAGTCTTCTTGCTTGTCATCCCAAACGAAAAGGTAGGCGTCAAAACTACATCATCATCACAAATAAATACAGTGGAAATATAAGTGGTGGTAGCAATATAACGCTAGCAGTAGTAGTAGTGTTAGTAGTAGTAGTGGTAGTAGTAATAGTAGTAGTAGTGTTAGTTGTGGTAGTAGTAGTAGTGTTAGTAGTAGTGGTAGTAGTAGTAGAAGAAGTAGTAGTTGTAGTGGTAGTCGTAGTGGTATTAGTAGTAGTGGTAGTAGTAGTAGTGGTAGTAGTAGTAGTAGTAGTAGTAGTAGAAGTAGTAGTTGTAGTGGTAGTCGTAGTGGTATTAGTAGTAGTGGTAGTAGTAGTAGTGGTAGTAGTAGTAGTAGTAGTAGTGGTAGTGGTAGTGGTAGTAGTAGTGTAGTGGTAGTGTAGTAGTAGTAGTAGTAGTAGTAGTAGTAGTAGTAGTAGTAGTAGTAGTAGTAGTAGTAGTAGTAGTAGTAGTAGTAGTAGTAGTAGTAGTGGTAGTAGTAGTGGTAGTAGTGGTAGTAGTAGTAGTAGTAGTAGTAGTAGTAGTAGTAGTAGTAGTGGTAGTAGTGGTAGTAGTAGTGGTAGTAGTAGTAGTAGTAGTGGTAGTAGTAGTAGTAGTAGTAGTAGTAGTAGTAGTAGAAGTAGTAGTTGTAGTGGTAGTCGTAGTGGTATTAGTAATAGTGGTAGTAGTAGTAGTGGTAGTAGTAGTAGTAGTAGTAGTAGTAGTAGTAGTAGTGGTAGTAGTAGTAGTAGTAGTAGTAGTAGTAGTGGTAGTGGTAGTAGTAGTAGTAGCAGTAGTAGTGGTAGTAATAGTAGTGTTGTAGTAGTAGTAGTAGTAGTAGTAGTAGTAGTAGTAGTAGTAGTAGTAGTAGTAGTAGTAGTAGTAGTAGTAGAAGTAGAAGTAATAGTAGTGGCAATGGTAGTGGTAGTAGTAGTGGTGGTGGTAGTGGTAGTAGTGGTAGTGGTAGTAGGATCTCCTTCCGTGTCCGTGTATCGCCTTACTGATTAACGCAGGTGGTCTGGTGACGTGCCATAAATAATTCAGAGGAAACATTACGACGCATCAAATAACCAAATACCATTAGCCTACGTAATTTTCAGTAGATATAGATCTCGTTTAAATCTGGTTTAAGAATAAAAGAAAATGTCGGAAGGAGGACGCTGCGGTTGCCTCCGACGGAATAAACTGATAGTGCTGACGATGGGTGGTGTTCTGTGTGGTGTGGCACTCGGCGTACTTCTACAGCGCTTCGACCCTTCGGAAACCACACTAATGTGGATCGGTAAGTACAATTCCTGATTAAGTAATATCATAGCAAATTTTACATATATCTCAAATAGGGACTTTCATCCAATGTTATCGTAAACAATGCTTATTCATGTTATAAAATAACTTAGTAACCAGCGGGAACATTCACTTTAAATTTTATAAAAACCCGAATGAATAAATTCTTCTATATGCTTTCTTTTATGTCATTGCGTACTTTTTTAGTTTATTTATCTTGTGATCTATAAGGTTTGCCAGGCGAGCTCTACATCCGCTTCCTGAAGATGTTGATAATCCCTCTTCTTATAACGTCTGTTATATCAGGTGAGTAGTGACCTACATCCCCTGTCACTTCTGTGAAGTCTTCGTGACTTACAAAAAGTCTGACTTGTTTGTGGGTAATCTTTTTTCATGATTTAAATTTGAGACATCCTTTCAAGATTAAAAATGTTTGTGGACACGACACAAGTATCTACACAATACATTCATTAGTCTTATTTGTTGCATTTTATTTTCGAGGTTTGTCTATATTCATGATAATAACGAATACGTCATGCAGTATCTGCTATCTTTGATTATTTAGATGTGTTTTTTAAAACAAAATGAAATTAATATTTCACTGAATAATTTACATTCGTGTATACTTAAGAGATACCTACACATAGCATTACTTAATCTGAGGCAAGATTTAATAAAGAATATATTTTCTGATAAAAATTGGAATGCTTCTGTGCCATTCGACCAGTGGATCAGTAAAAGAAAACTCAAAACGGACCTATGTACACGACTCGGACATGTAACATAATTTACTGCAGATACAAAATTTTTAAATTCATCTCAATCAAAGCTGCAGTCAGCAGCTAACAATGCTTTTAAATGACAAACTAAAAATTGTATAAGGTAAAATAAAAAAACCTTCAAGGATAATATGAATGTTAAATGATAACATATACATATATCTGTTAGGAGATACACTTTTTACCAACTTAGTCAGTTATAAGGACGTTATAAGAATGGGGGAAAATAGAAACATTACGTATGATACATGAATTATGAAAGGTATCTGATATAAATAAAAAAATGTTTACATCAATCCAAACATTTTATATCCATATAAGGTTATATCCGCATTGATATACTTACAATCAAACTGGACCAAGTGGTGACAATTGGAGTAGAAAAATTGTGCACCTTCCCAGAAACAATATATAAAGAAATGCTTTTTAGCACATATGGATATAGAGGCATTTGTTTTGCCTGCGTCCATCATTTACTTATTACTTTACTTATTACGAATCAACTCAATTGGTCGCCCTGTATCCCAGCATGCCACAGGCCCAATATCAGCACCATGGACCTTTTGTTAATTAAGAAGCTGATTAAATATTTTAATACATTTTACCTCTGTGACCTTGAAAGTAGGTAAAGGTAATTTTAACAAACTTGGTCGCCCTTCATCCCAGTATGCTTAAGCGCAAATGTCAGTACCATGGACATTTTGGTTATCAAATAGAAATTGTTCAAAGATTTTAACACAATTGGCCCCTGTGACATTGAAAGCGAGTCAGGATCATTCATATTAAAAAAAAAAAATTGGTAGCTCTTCATCCCATCCTGCCACAAGAACAGTATTAGTACCCTGAGCCTTCTGGTTATCGAGAAGTCGTTAGAATGGAAGGTAACGCGCGGCTGACGACGCATAATAATCTAATACTTAGCAGATCCATTTTAAACCAAGGCATTTGTAAGATAAGTAGATCTCAGAAATTCACTTACGTGTGATCATAATTTTTTTTAAGTTTCTTTTCGTGTGTATTGTGTAAAGTAAGTAACTGACTTCCATGTGTGTATTTCATAATCTGAAATTTGATCCATTGTTGTCCGTCATCCTAGTGTTTGTTTAGTATGCTTGGTGTTTTTTTTCTTATTTATCTTGTTGAAGCCCCTCACATTTTACTTATAGTTTATACGGCTGAGATATACAAAGTTAACACACGAGCGTGACGAACCCGAGTAGGGAATTACCAATCTAACAATGGTGACACTGATTAGTTAATTGCTCTGTCAAGGTGGCCAGTTGCTCAAGCTTAACCTGTAGTACAGTTATTACTGGTTCAAGTGATTGAGGAGGGAAGGAAACTGGGGACGCTGGCAACCCCTGAGCTGACTCTGAAATCCTAGCGCCAATAAAATAAAGCAATAATATTTAATATTTGAAAGTTGGATTTTGTGGAGAGAATGTGAAGAATGTAAGAATATTATAAAAAATAATTTAGCCTTAATTTTTTTAAATCTCTTAAATAAATCATATACCAATCTAAATTTCAAATAATTGTCTGTTTTGCTATTGTGATGGAAAAATCAAATGTCAAAATTAATACAAGACCACAGGACAGCACATAGCAGGTTTATTAAAAAAAACACACAAAGCTCCCCCTGCAGTACACCTTAGCTGTACGGAAATAATGGAATATTTGATCAGGTATTACATAAAAAATTATCTCCCTTCTCGACAGCCTACCCTAACATCATCCAAGCGTTACGATGTCAAAAGTTTTATGGTCATTTTTGATAATTATACATTTTGTATATTTATTTGATGTAAAGATTGGCACCAAACTGATAGTGCTCCAATATAAGTTACAAAAATGTATCTCTCTACAGCTGTACTAGTAAAACCACAGGAAGTCTTGGGTTGTATTGTCTCTGTGCTGAAACACCAGGGGGCACGGTAGGGGACTTAACCCATTATTTAACAGGACAGTTTTTTTTTCACATTACAAGTGTGGACCCTAGTGCACTTCTAGTTTACCTGTAGTCCTTTTCTTGTGAACAAGGAATCTTTTTCTCGTGCACTCGAAGTGAACTATGGTGTAAAGATCAGTATACACTCAACTGCATCAAAATTAAATAGTAAAGAATTATCTTTTTCAATTTCAAATATCTATCAAATTATAGAATCCATATACAAGAAATTTGGTTGTAGAGGTACAACTTCATCTAAACATTTTTTAAAACATATATCAAAACGTAATGCATTTTTTCAATATTAGTTTTTGCTATTCATTGAAAGACAAATATGTGTGCAGATAAAAACCGAATTGTTGGTTTTAATTATTAGGTTAATCATTTTCTGAGTGTTAGCCAGTCTGAAGGTTATATTTGCATTTTCAAATCCAGACAAATACTTATACAAATCTAACACTCCTATACCTAAATTAGGTCAAAACAGGTATAACATTTTTGTATCCTGTACGTTTTGCCACGAAGAGGTTATTTGTTTCACAGCAGGTCAGGAAAAGCTTATTTTCTTTCAATGTATTCAACATATGTTAAATATCAAATACCTACATGTATAGAGGCCTTTTATAGTTCATGTATCATACTTAATGTTTATATTTTTCTACTTTCTTATAACTAACAAAGATGGTAAAAAGTTTATCTCATGACACATATACATGTATATGGTTGCTGCAGAATGTGAAAAGGTGTACTAAATAGATCGGTCTAGTCATTATTGGTGTAAACCTTGTTCTAAAATGGCAAATACCGATATATTATATCTAATTCATAACACTATAATGTGTATGAAATAATTTAAATGTGATATTTTAGATACAGAAGTGGAGTATCTGCCTCCATATATTATGTACACTATTATCTGGTACATGTAGAAGGGAAGAAAAATGGGAGATAATCAGAGTCAAAATCTGGTACGGGTTTAGTCTGTAATATGGCAGAATGCCTTATATTGAAGACTTACCTGGTATTCATTTTTACATGCATTCAGATTCAGAAAGGAAAAAAGTGTTTCATTGGACATACAAATAAGTGTTTATGATTTTCAATTTATCAATCCTAGATGGCATTTCAAATCATTCAAGAACAATTTATGGGATGGCTTGTTTTCAACAATGGAACTACTTCTTCCAGTTTTGAGTATTTCTTCTTATTTTGGACACCTTGATAGTAAAGATGTCTGCTGACTGTGACACGTGTATCAAAGTATGGAGCTCATCCTCAGCTGGTTACAATGTGACTGTATTGACTTTCAAACGACATTAAGCAATCATATGGCTCAGTTAATTATCCTTGACACTGTTTTTATTGTTGAGTTTGTCATGTAATAGCATTGTTAACTGTAAACTGCGGTTTTGATTGAAATTTAAACATGTTTGTATCTGCATAAAGTGTTATGTTACATGTCCGAGGTATGTGCAAATGTTCGTTTTGAGTTTTTTTTTACTGGTAGTGGTCTAATGGCATAGAAACATTCCAATGTATATCAGAAATTGGAACCTTCATTAAATCTTGTGACACGGATTAAGCTTTTAATTAACCTCAATTCTACCTCATATACACAAAAAGAGATATTGAACAAGTTATATTTCATTGGTATATTATGAAGATTTTTGTAGAAGAAATTATACTTTCTACATAATGAACTTTAGAACCTACTGTATGTTAATCTGCAAATTGTGGGATCAATGACAATACGAATAATAAAAATATCCCTTCAGAATTCATTATTATTTACAGACAATCATTGCTTTTGTAGCAAAAGCAGTTCTCCTGTTACTGGGAGCATATCCGGATTTTCAGACACCTTCCGTTTTTTTAGTGGTGACATGCGCAGAGCAGTGTAAACAGAATGGCAGAGACGACAACAGTCGTGGCTCGTCTATACTTCGAACCACTGCAAATATGTTTAGATATTTTCTACAAGAAAGTGATTGTTTTTTTTTATTTTTGAGTTTATCATGTAATAACAGATTCTTTGGTTATGTTTAAAATTGCCGAAAAGGGCTAGAAAAATCATGCACGACTGCATAATTTGTGATTGGAAATTTATGACATTTTTGCCCATTGCCGAAAGGGTCTTGCTGGAAAATAAACAGAAAAATAAACAGTTCGATGTTGTTTTTTTACGCTTTGTTTCACACTTTGTTAAGGAAGCTATCTGGATACGTTCTTAAGTTCTTAATAGGGACGAGGGGGTGGTGGGGCACAGACTCTCGCACATCTATGACCAAGTGATAAACAAAGCGAAGCCGAATTGACTACAGTGCATTATTACCACCTGGTGTATTTTATTTTTTCTATAATCTGTTTACCATCTCGTCGCACCTTCACACTATGTACGTCATTGCTAGTACGCACCACACTGGTCATTTGTTTGATGAAGGTGACCGTGTAGTCATGGAAACGTCACACTCTAACCTGATACTGGTTGTGTTATAAGATGAAGGTGACCGTGTAGTCATCGGAACGTAACACTCTAACCTTCCACTGGTTGTGTTATAAGATGAAGGTGACCGTGTAGTCATGGAAACGTCACACTCTAACCTTATACTGTTTGTTTTTATAAGATGAAGCCGACTGTGTAATCATGGAAACGCCGCACTCTAATTTTACTTCTTGTGTTAAAAGAACTTCTATTCTATAGGTCATTATTTATTTCTGACGCTCAAACGCTAAACTGAATTTAAACAGAATGTAACCTGTCTGACGCTCAACCGAACGAGCTAAAGAGAAGTTTTCTCTAACCAAACGGTATTTTGCGGCTAGTATCAAACCGGGGTTACATACTCCCCGTCTAGGAAATAACTCGCCCTAGATTGTGAAAGTAACGCTAAGTATTTTTCCCCGAGTCCCTGCATGGGCGCAATTCAACAGAGGTCATTGTTTCTTTCAAATCCTCCGCTAAAGAGAAGTTCTCCCTAGCCGAGTGATATTTTGCGGATAGTATTTAGTTGTTTACAGGTTTATTTATCCTAAACATTGTTGTGAATTTCAATACGCCATTTTGGTAAACCACAATACTAGTATACTCTAAAAAGTTCTTCCCTTTTTGTTGCCCTATACACAATTTCATAAGGATGTGAGTCGTTGCAATTACGTTAAACCATGAATTAAATGCACATCCATGCTTGATAGGTTTGTCTAAAACAATCAAAGACGAGTCTACGGAAAGTTATTGTATTAATATTCATTCATTTTGATATAGGACGTATCCTTAAAACTTCAGACTGGAGGCAAACTTTCTCTGAAGGACGTATATACCAGTTAACTACACTATAGACTGGAGGTAGATTTTCTCTGAAGGACGTATTTACCAGTTAAGAACATTTCAGACTGGAGGTAGATTTTTTCCGAAGGACGAAATTCCAGTTAACAGCACTTCAGTCTGGAGGCAGATTTTCTCTGAAGGATGTCTTTACCAGTTAACAACACTTCAGACAGAATCTCAGACTAATGGCAGACTTTCTCTGGAGTATACATTTATTGCATATCAATCAGGAAACAGTACCTGAGATTGACCGTAGAATTTCTTTGAGAGGCATGCTTTACAGTATTATAGCTGAAATTGATATTTTTATTGAGGTCATAACGAAACAATTAATTTCCATATCATTTTAAAAGTCATTATATATTTTTCCATTAAATTAACAGAGACACCCCCCTCAACATTTCCACAGTAAACGATTCTTCTTGAAATTCACAGATATGTTAACCATTGTAATCCTTGAGCGTTCTGTTAACAGGTACATCCTCTCTGAACGCCAACACCAGTGGTAAGGCAGGGATCATCACTTTAGTGTATTTCATCTTCACCAACTTCACCGGCTGTGTGATTGGATGTTTACTCACCGTATTGATCGTACCAGGTAATGGCAGTGTTGCACAGTATCACAAAATTCAGCAGTTTAATAATGATGTAAAAAAAACGGATCGAGAATGCCGCTATTTTAATAGAACTAGAATACGAAATCAATGAACCGAAGACAACATTTGAACCAGAGATTTACACGATATCAATGAACTGAAGACAACATTTGAACCAGAGATTTACACGAGATCAATGAACCGAATACAACATTTGAACCAGAGATTTACACGATATCAATGAACCGAAGACAACATTTGAACCAGAGATTTACACGATATCAATGAACCGAAGACAACATTTGAACCAGAGATTTACACGATATCAATGAACCGAAGACAACATTTGAACCAGAGATTTACACGATATCAATGAACTGAAGACAACATTTGAACCAGAGATTTACACGAGATCAATGAACCGAAGACAACATTTGAACCAGAGATTTACACGATATCAATGAACCGAAGACAACATTTGAACCAGAGATTTACACGATATCAATGAACCGAAGACAACATTTGAACCAGAGATTTACACGATATCAATGAACTGAAGACAACATTTTAAACAGAGATTTACACGATATCAATGAACTGAAGACAGCATTTGAACCAGAGATTTACACGATATCAATGAACTAAAGAATACATTTGAGCCAGAGATTTACACGAGATCAATGGATTAAAGAATACATTTGAGCCAGAGATTTACACGATATCAATGAACTAAAGAATACATTTGAACCAGAGATTTACACGATATCAATGAACTAAAGAATACATTTGAACCAGAGATTTACACGATATCAATGAACTAAAGAATACATTTGAACCAGAGATTTACACGATATCAATGAACTAAAGAATACATTTGAACCAGAGATTTACACGAGATCAATGGATTAAAGAATACATTTGAGCCAGAGATTTACACGAGATCAATGGATTAAAGACAATAGTATACCTTCATAAGAGACACATATTACAAGAATAAGGTATTATGTTCCAGAAAGGGTGTCCTGCTACATTGTCGACATCAACAATATGAATCTTGGTAAATCTAAGCAAAGAGTGTCACAATTTTTAAAAACTAACATCGAAATCACGAGACATTCGAACGAGCAGTGAATTCAAGCAAGTTTATATCTTACAAGAAAATTGAATGTTTCCCAATAAGATGATTGTATCGCCATAAAATCTTCATCTTCATCAATATATATCTGTTGAAACTCTCTGTTGTGAGTGTGTCAGCAGTCGACATCTCGCGCGGAAATCGTGATACTGACGTTCAATTAGTTATTGAAAATTAAATGCAAATTGAAACTCTGATTAAATAAATTTATTTTACAGGAACCCAGCATCATAAAGACGTCGATGCGATGGAACATACAGTAAATACAAGAGAGTATCACGATTTATTGGCCGACGTATTCAGGTAATGGTATTTTCTTTCTTTCAAGCAAATCGTACGTTATACGTATTTCTCCTTTCGCTGTTATTTTTTAGGTGAAGACAATTACGAGATCCTCGCGGCTTTGATTTTTGATTTATCAACGTTTTAATTTCCTGTTGGATATATATACAGTCATTCAAAAACCATTGGAATTATAATATTTTTTTTAAATGACGTATTTATGTGCTATAAAATTTGTTTGATTTGGTTCTTGAATTAAACTGGAATTCAACATGTAGAGTGAATATATCTATAATCCTAAGGGGTTAATGAGGAATAGGAAAGTTTGGCTGTTTCATCACAAGAAAAGCACGTTGATTTTATTAATATGTAAATAAACATAATTCTGAAAAAACCTGTTAAACCTATTAATTAGACATACCGTAATCTCACCATCAGTGGGATATTTATTTTTTAATTAGAGATTTATCTATCGTGTCAGATGTTTTCGTATTGTTTCAGAAATCTTGTTCCAGACAATCTTTTCCTTTCTGCCTTTCAACAGGTAATGCTCTTGCACTAACTAAACGGCTTTACTTTAAAATGTATGCAACTGCATATTATTGAAAGACCGTTATCATAGACACAGAAATATTTCTTTAATAATGATTATCTGACTGACACTAAATTCAAGATCTATTCAATTCAAACTGAAAACTGGTTAAAAGATTGCGAAGTTTGAACAAGAGAAATATTTACACGGATACCATTGAAAAACTGCAAGGCTGATATAAGTAACTGGTTGTTCCAGACGATTAAATGACTTCTGTTTCCGCCCCGTAAATATAGGTCAGTCCAAGAAATGGAATGTTATCAAAATATGAATCAGGTTATTAACTACGCATACTAATGAGAACAGAACACGTAGCTAAGAATTGGAATATTTGAGAAAATCGAGTTTTGATAAGAACTGACTTCTCTTTAAGACGCAAACGAGGTACCAGTTGCAGAATAAGTCTCTTTCCGTCAACCAAACCAAACAGGAACAGACGAAAATCTTGGAATATGTAGACGGACCGAATGTCCTTGGTAATTACCAGTTTAGATATGAGGCAATCTTTAGCTTATAGAAATAATTTTCAGTTGAAAAAACTGTTTAATTAAAAACATTTATGGGGTTTTGACATGATATGAAATTATTAATACGATGTTTTGCATGAAAGATTATAAATTGGTATGCCCATTTATGCTGATGCCAATTAGTGGATAATACTGCATCATACAACATTTTATTCTGGGCTCTTCAAGGTACCTGGTTTGGATGGGGGTGGGGGTTAAAATAACGAAGAAACGAAAGCACGGAGCAACGTAATCAAATCTTAGTTTAGTTTATTTTAGACATTAAGTACATATATATGTAGTTACAAAATAACCAAATTATCATTGTTGAGACACGCCGAACTTAAACTTCAGAATACAAGTTTTAGTTTTGTATTATCAGGTACTGAAATAAAACATAAAATGTTTTCAATAGTTGCTTATACTTAGCGGTTATCTACAGGGATATTGATGGTCGGTTTCCTAGTTGGTATATGTGCTGGGAAAGTGAAGCAGGATGGAGGAGTGTTTCGAGAATTCTTCAGGTCCTCGTTCTATACACTGCTACACCTTATGCGCCTCTTCATGTGGTAGGCATTGCTGTTTGGATACAGTATCTCATCTTACGGGGGAACGTATTTGTATCAACCGTTAGTATCAACACCAAAGTCACGTGTGTACACCTTGTATGAAATTAATTTCATGACAAATTGGTCGTATGAGTGAAATGCTGACGCGTGAAAATGTATCAAAGTGCACACAAGTAAATAGCGTCTTTATACTCAGAACCGAATGTGTAATTAACTTGCAACATACAGCTGTTAGTTTTTCTTGAACTTGTGAGTGATGCTAAGGGTTAAAAAAAGTATAAATATATAGAAAACCTTGGTAGCGACTGAGGAGCGTATTGTTGTTACAAATCTTACATAACAAACCTTCTTTCTTTTTACAGGTTAACGCCCTGTGGTCTCTTTAGCCTTTTGGCTAAGATTGTCTCCAGCACCGACAACCTACCCAGTGACATGGCTGACATAGCTATGTACATCGTAACTGTTACGGTAGGGCAGTGTCTTGTTGTCGTGTTGTTGGTGCCGCTGGTTTACGTTATCGTCAGACGGAACAACCCAGCTGACCTTTTCATTAAACTTAGAGAACCAATTATGCTGTCCTTCGTCACAGGTAGTACGTAAGTGTACTAGGTCATAACAACGCATATGAGAATTCCATCTTATTTTACATATATTTGTTTGTATTTGTTTGCCAAATTCTTGACATAATGTGACACTTTATGATTCATGCAAAGTTGTCGGATTATCATGGTACCTGATTGACGTCAAATGTGACACTTTTGATGTTTGTTAAAGGGCTGCGGTTATTCCGGACACGGTCTGTCTCCTGGAAAAGGCAATGAGTGTGGATAAACACGTGGCCGAGTTCGTTGTGCCCCTATCTACTACCATAGGACGATGCGGAACTTCTTTATACGTATCTGTAGCGTGCGTCTTTCTACTCCAAACTCAGACCTCGGAATCCGATGCAGAAACCGTGGTTCTTATTTGGTAAGGTGTGAACCAGCGTATGGGTTCTATAGAGTCTGTTTTAAGTTAATCATGAAGAGTGCGTATAGTAAAAACATTTAGTAATGTTCAAGATTTCTATGTTTCTGTGTAATATTTATGCAAAGTTTTGTCAATTTGTTAACAAACAAATGTATAGCTATATAAGTCAACAGAGAAATCGACAAGCGCGATACAAAACATATTATTTCCAAGCGCTCAAATACTTCAACACTATGTGATGGCATATTTACACATGTAATTAATTGATGAGATTTGTATAACATCGGGGTCCCACATCACCGTATTTTACCTCCCTTCTAAGAGTAAGCAACTGGAAATATGGAAGAAAATATTAAATAAATTTATGTATGCCAATCTTGTATGGTAAGGTTCGAGAGAGGAGAGGTAATACTGTTGAATCAGTACTTAGTACCCCGAGTTGACTTGAAAGAGGCTAGACAGATTCAGTTTCGGAGTAAGCGTTGCTGGAAAAACCCGACATGTTTGTTGAATCATAAACCAAACTCCTATTCGATGAAAAAGGGCCAAATATGAATAAAACAAAATGTTGCATGAAGACCCCGGAAATGTAAAATATGAGAAATAAGGGCAGGTGTTGTTGGAAGGCTTCATCGAGCTTCAACGACGGTCTACCTATAAATATTGGTCAGTTAAAATAGTAATGTCGTGATACCGAAAGAAAATAAGGTAAGATCAACGGAATCACAAGGCATAATAACGGGCATCAAATATGTCTCATACCACACAAAGAAGTAGAATATTTCTCAATGAGATCGTTATGCTGTGCGTCTCTCGAAACTCTGTATGTTTGTCTAACAGTTGCCGACAATATTCACACGTTGGGAATGCAGGATGGTTGCTATCATGAAATGGAAAATCATAATAGGGAAATTGAAATCATCACGACGGAAGTGCCGTTGTAGAAAAGAAAGTGTCTGATGTAGATAAATATATCATGCTCTTGACTTCCAATTTAGGTTGGTATGAGATGGACATGTACGATCCCTCACCTACACACCCTCTCTCAAAAAGAACCAAACAAACAAAAAAGAAACATTGAAAAAGGTCTAAAATAAGGAAATATGAAGCAGAACTTGATAGTCCTATTTCACTACCGGTTTTCTCTTTAGAAATATTTATTAAAGATAAGTTGTGGATCGTTTAGGAAATATTTTTTTGAATGACCTCTGTGATTATGGCGATCAGAGGCATCTCTCCATAATGTAATAGCATTAAAACATTCATTATCATAAATTTGACGTTATTTTACACAGTTCTATCACATCTCTCCTTATTCTCCTGAATGCCAGTGATGGAATCTTTAGTTTCTTCAACATCTCACTGTAGGCCAGGTCCTTCATTCCGGAGGAAATTTGGTTGCTCTTCTCTAGACCGTCTTAATCTTGTCAATGTGTTTTTGAAGATATAGGGCCCAAACTGAACTGGCATAGTCCAGCTGTGACATTTTATATTGAACTTAATATACCTTGTTTTCAGTTTGATGGCTACACTATTGTCTACAGCTGCTCCGTCTGTATCAGGATCCAGTATGGCAGTCATCATCCTCATCTTGTCTAACTTTAACGTGCCATCTGATATGATCGCTATACTGTTTTCAACAGACTGGATTATGTAAGTGCACGGAGCAAAGCGTGACAAAAGACAATATTCGTCTATGACGTAAACGCACATGGCATTTTCTATAATTATTATACAAAAGACACGTAAGCAAATAAAGAATAATTCAAATAATGAATTAAACTGTAATATATAGCTGTTTTGTTCTTGTAGGACTCGTCAGTGATACTAGAGCCTAGCTTCTAAAGCCTAGGAGGTGACTGAGAAAAGTAGAGTTATATCTGAAGAAATAGCACTGTCCAGATAGGAGATTAATTAGCTCTATTATGCAATAAATTTCCTATTTTTCTAAAATATGACAAAGCATAACATCAAGTTCAGATGTCCATCCTAACCCGTGCCACTATCCGAAATAAACAAAATGTGACAGGCTACGCCCGCCTCGCCCACCAGCAGTATTTACATGAAGACACACAGCATAGGCAATGCTAAAGTATCGACAGACTTTAAATCAAAATCCAAATTGATGAAACCAGGTGAAAAATTCGTCCTCTGAATCATTGACAACATCCGCCATGGAAATCTTGGTCAATCTATGTAAGCTAGCCACGTTCTTGAATGACAATTAGTAACCAACAATATTAAGATATACTAACGAGCATCAACCACGTCTAATATCATTTCTCAAAGGAAGGTAATTGTGAAGACCGTAAAATGTCTTCATGGTCTTCACCAACCAAATATCCCTCGAAACCGATTGTTCTGACAGCTGCCGACCTCTTGCATGAAAATCGTGATATTAAAACATGTCCTTGAATCACTTACGACATGAAAATACATTTATGTCGGGAGCAGGATTGTTACTATCCAGACATAGAAAAGACATCAATGGGAAAATCGAAATCATCACGCTGATCACACAACTTAATTGTGTCGTTGTAGGACAAGATCGTTCATGCTCTGGTTTTCTGACACTTAGAGCTCCTCTGTTGATGTTATTGTAGTAGTTATATAGTAATGTCTGCTAGCATCCATCCGAACGTATAGCATGTTATGTATTCATAGAAACTATGCATACAGTTCATCTAAAGTTGTTTCTTGTTTTCTTCTTTTTCAGAGACAGAATCCGTACCATAACGAATTATGTAGTGCAAGTTCTGGGAGTGATCATAATAAACACACTGTGTGTTCCATCCAGACACAAAGATGTTCGCCGTACCTCTGACGTAAACGATTTGAATACCATTTCGTTATGGGATTTGTCCAGGTCAGACGGTCTTAATCATATGTTTGCTTCAAGGAGATCTAGCATACTTTCAATTTCCAACTTCATTACCCGTTCCCCAGTCGGATGGGACTCGAACATTGATCAGTTAGACAACGCCCTCTATCAAACATCGGCAGAAAGAAGACCTAGCATCCTGTCCATACCAAACATTGTCAACTGTAACTCCGACATGGATGACAGCAACACCGTTCGAAGAACGACATCTAATCTGTCTGGAATCTAAGGTTCGAACGTGCAAAGGTAGCGTCATCACTTATTGTGGTGTAACCGTGTACAATTTGATCATCAGTTTCTGCAGTTCACAGCAACAACTTTTAACATTTAAGAACTGGAGAGTATAGTGAAAAACAACCACCTTCGTGTGTCGTTATAAGTATTTTTTCTGTTATCAGGATATACATTTTCAGATCACCTGACCTGTAATGTAAAGATGCCCTTTTGTTATCATGTGTTTTCGTCATGTCTGAATAAAACACAAGTAGTATGGATAGGGAGTAAGGAATACAGCAATGACATTTTATTGCCAGAAGTAAATCTTCAATGGGGTACAGAAAAGTTTAAGCTCCTTGGAGTAGAATTTCATGCTGATTTACATAGAATACCTAAACTTAACTTTGATAAAAAAAACTTGTTAAGCTGAAATCCATCATCAGTTCTTGGAAAAGAAGATTTAGTACACCTATTGGTAAAATACATATCATAAAATCAATATTGATATCCCAATTCAATCACTTGTTTATTTCATTACCTAATTCAAGTGAGAGATTTCTTTTTAAACTTAACAGTATCTTGTATGAATTCCTTTGGAATGGAAAGATAGATAAAATTAAGCGAGATGTTGTTGTCAAAAATTATAGAGAGGGAGATCTTAATATGGTACACTTATTGCCTTTTATAGAATCTTTAAAATTAAGTTGGATAAGGAGGCTTCTTCAAAAACAAGGCAAATGGCAGGAAACATTAAAAACACATATCAATACTCACCTTCTTTTTAACTGCGGTAGTAAATATATATCTATATGTCAAAATAGAAGTACAAACTTGTTTTGGAAAGATGTTTTCAAAGCTTGGAGTAAACTTTCCTATAAAGAAGATCTTTTAAAGGAAAAGGAGCCATCATTTCTAAAACAGCCGTTATGGTATAATGAGAGTTTAACTATAAACCAGAAGTGTGTTTTTTTATCCTGAATGATATAGATGTGGAATTACTATTTTTAATGACATGATAAAAGTTTACAACACTAATACTTTCCATGCACATCATGAATTTAATAACAAATACAATATAAATACGAATTTTGAGCAATATCATGGTATCCTATCAGCAATTAGAAGGTATGTTAATCAGAACAATATTGGGCATAACATCAGGGTAGATTTAGTGTATCCAATTATGCCTCATAATTTAGATTTTTTTTTACAAAAACACTAAAGGAGCTAGGGATTTTTATTCAGTACTTTCTAAAAATAAGGTTATTCCAACAGGTAGGAAGAAATGGGGGGAAAAGTTTGATATTAGTGACAAAAAATGGGGAAAAAATATATATAATTCCATTTCGAATAACTACAAATACAAAACTTCAATGGCTCCAAGTAAGAATTTTCCATCACATTCTGAAAACAAATGTATATTTATGCAAAGCTGGCCTTTCAAATAACCCTTTATGTGTTTTTTGTAATCTAGATAGGGAAACAATCGTTCATACACTATGGGACTGTCCCATTGTACAAAATTTCCTCTATAGCTTTAATTATCCCTTTTACTTTTAACAAGGAATCTTTCCTCTTTGGCATAGTATCACAGTCATGAACAAGTAATAGACTAGATAATGAAATTTTAATCATGATCAAACACTTTATTAATATCTTTAATTTTGTAAACATAATACAACCCCTCTGTCAGTTTCTTAGTTTTTATTTCAAATTACTATATATATTCTTTCAGAATATTTTATTGTCATGGTGGAGTTGACAGTAGGAATTGGGCAACAGGCAGAGCCTATGAAAGCCCTCTCCTTACAGTGCATAAACAAGTATACAGACACATCAATCAAAATTAGAGATAACAGATAATAATAATATTAGGAATAAGAATGTAGAAGATAGATTCAAATGGATGATTATATAACCGAAATGCAAAATAGGCATCACCATCGTTTGTATTATTGAGTTCCAGAACAGTAACATAAACTAAAAAATACAAATTAGGTATCACAAGATATTACAAGACTGGGTCAAAATATGTCCATTTGTGGTGGGACAGGCTGCAGGTTCAAACAGTCCATTTGCACATAATCCTGAGCTGAGTCCCTAAAATGGACAGGCGGACCCACACTTGAGACATCAAATACAAATGAGAGATAGAAAAGATAGAAGTATAGAATGGGATGTACATTTGCTAAAATAGGCGACCAGTGTCAGTTATGAATCTCTGAACTATATCAAGAATAAATTTATTCATGTTTGCATCAAGTATAGGAGAACCTTTGAGAAATGTATCAATTGTAGGAGGTATAGAATCACTAAGGTCAGAAAGGGAATTAAAGAGGAGTTGTCTCTGGTTAGTAAAGAAGGGACAGTGGAAAAAGAAGTGGGTACAATCTTCAACTGGGTGGCCACAGTTACAGGCAGGGTTATCTTTAAGGTGGGAATTTAATAAATCAAAATTCAGATTACTTGCAGAGTTTCTTAGTTGACATAAAATTATGTTAGCTTTTCTTTGTCCTTTATATTTGAAAGTATCATTACAGTGGAAAGGAGGAATGGTAGCTTGCTGTGATAAAAAAGATTTTTTTATCGCATAAATAGAAGTTAATGAGGGATACAGACAAGATGGGCCATTCCATTCATTCATGAGTTTTGGAAAGAAGCTAGTGCTATATTGACAAGTTCTTGTATGTGGCACATCAAACAATCTATTGTGTCGAAGTGGATAAGGAGCATTATTATTGTTTATAAAAGGTTGGATAGAGTCAAATACATGAGGAGGGCATCTGTTATTTAAAATCTTAAAAAAAATGGATATTTTGATGTAAGTGTCTTCTTTTAGCTAAGGGTATTAATCCAGACTCATTATATAGAATTGCATGACTGGTGCCCCGTCTTAGGCCAGTAATAATGTGAATTGCCTCTAGTTGAATTGATTCTAAGATGTTGCATTCCCTTTCTGTGCAATTAGCCCAAACAATATCAGCATATTCTAAAATAGGACGAATAAATGTAATATATATTAATTCAAGTGACTTTCTGTCAATTTTATACTTTAACATTCTAAGTACATTTATTCGTTTATAAGCTTTCTCATAGATAGAGTTTATGTGGTTTGACCAATTAGCATGACTATTAAAAGTTAGACCAAGGTGCTTATGGAAGGTAACATTTTTAATAACTGAATCATTAAAGTACAGATTTGGATGCAACATCTCCGAATCAACTCTCCTTGAAAAAAGTAGGGATTCTGTCTTGTCAGGATTAAAAATAATACCCCATCTATTGGCCCACCTAGAAATTTTTTGAAGATCATTATTGAGTATATTAGCTGCATCTTGTCTATCGCCCTCAATTAAGCCATATAAAGATGTGTCATCAGCAAATAATTTCACATTAGATAGTAAATCATCACCAATATCATTAATATATAACAAAAACAGATAAGGACCAAGAACTGAACCTTGAGGGACCCCAGCCTGTAATGTTTTCCAGTTGGACTTGTATCCATCCAAGACCACTCTCTGTCTCCTGTTAGTTAAATAAGATGAAAACCACTTTAACATGTTATTACTAATGCCATACTTTTTCAATTTAAAAATTAACCCATCATGCCAAACTCTATCGAACGCTTTGCTTATGTCACAGAATATCATTCTTGCTTCTTTACCTTTATCCAAATGCTTAGTAATTTCATCATATATAATTAATAGTTGATTAACAGTGGAATCTTTAGGTAAGAACCCTGATTGATTTCTGGCGATAATGTGATGTCTTGAGAGATAATTATAAAAATATTTAAAGACAATATTCTCAAGGATTTTACTGAAGATGGGAGTAACAGAGATTGGCCTGTAGTTGGATAGATAACTTTTTCCTCCTTTTCCTTTATTTATAGGTGTTACATGAGCATTTTTCCAGGAGGTAGGAAGTACACCTGCAGAGATAGATTTATTAAATATTATTGAAAGAGGTTTTATAAGGGATTGAGAAACACCTTTTATGAATTTGGGAGGGATGGAATCAGGACCTGCAGGTTTGTTAGTATTAAGAAGCTTAAGTTGGTCGATAATGTCCTGTTCAGTTATGTCGACTGAAGAGAAGTTAATAATTGGTGGGGGATAGTCAGGTGGTAAATCATCAGCATTCTTGTCTGTTGTTGAAATAGAAGTGAAGTAGTCATTGAAAGTCTCAGCTTTATCTAGAGGGTGTATTTTCAGATCACCATTAATAATAAGGGGAGATTCAGTATCACTTTTATTATGTAGATTCATAACTGATTTAGCAATTCGCCACCATTTTCCAGGAGGAATAGTTTTATTAATAAGAGAAGATTGTAATTTAGATAGATATTTATCTTTAGCCTCTCGGATTAAAGTAATGACTTGGTTTCGAATAGATTTGAATTTATTCCATGAGGCACGGGAGTTATTTTGTTTAGCTTTAGAATGCTGACGATTCCTCTGTCTTATTTTCAGTCTAATTTCATTAGTCATCCATATTTTGTCATTTGGTCTAATAGTAACAGTCTTGTTAGGTACAAATTGGTCAATAGCTGATAAAATGTTGTTAGAAAGAACATAATTCATTTCATCAATATCACCAACTAATTGAGAATTCCAGTCAATAGAATTAAGAAATTCATTAGCTCCTTCATAATTAGTATTTTGGAAATATAAAAGGGTTTTTTTATATGCAAGTTTCTTAAAAGACTTGAAATTTAAAGTAGCAGTAATTGGCGAGTGGTCACTACAGGATGGAGGTAGTACAGAAGTACTGGAAACAAAGTTAACATTATTAGTAATAAGAATATCAAGTGAAGTTGAAGATTGAGGAGTAATCCTGGTAGGTTCAGTAACAGTATTTTGAAGTCCATATTTTAACAAGAGTCTATAAAAATGAGAGTTTGGACAAAGGTTTAACATATCTTGATTAATATCACCCACCAGAATTACTTCTCTTTGTAAGTCAAGTGCATCACTTAAGTTATTTTCAAGCTTTTCCCAGTAATTAACA